CACCAGCTCAAGGTTAACTCGGCTTTCCATCCTTCCAAGGTCGGTAAAATGAGGACCCAGATTGTTGAGGCAATATGCTGACTCTGTAAATTGCTTAGAAAGAGTTGTAAAGCATTATGAAGCAGTATATAAGTCTAAGTGCTATTGTCATTGCTACTGTTATTAGTTACATGTTGACTTTTCTTGGATAAATTGTTTGAAAAGCACTTAGAGCTTTTAATGAGATGGTATCAACCTATTGTTAATGAATATATACTGTAAAAAATAAATTCATAAATAAATGAAAACAATAGGAAACGGTGACCAGTGGTGAAATCCAAATTTTTTTACTATCGGTTCTGTGAGCGTGGCTTGGTGGGTGTGGTGTGGCTTGGTCGGCATGGCAGGGCAAGGATACTGCAAAATATCCATTCCCACCCCACTCCAGGGGAAGGATACTGCAAAATCCCCATTCCCTTCCCACTCCTGGGGGAAGGTTACTGCAAAATCTCCATTCCCACCCCACTCTGGGATCAACTAGAGGTGGTATTTGCTGGTTCTCCGAACTGCTCAAAATTTCTGTTACCGGTTCTCCAGACCTGTCAGAACCTGCGGGAATTCACCCCTGATGGTGACTACATAAACCCTGAAGCACTGACATCTGATACATGGCAGAATTTCCTCCTTATCAGGACAATAATACAACCTTTTTTTGAAAGACTGGACCCTTTGCATGGAGTTTTAGTTAAAAGAAGAAAAGACTGACTTGATGGTTTACATCAGGGATGTCAAACTCAATTTCATTGAGGGCTGCATCAGGGTTGTGTTTGATCTCAGAGGGCCAGGATGGGCATGGCCAGCTCAACATCACTCGTGTCGAAAGCACCTGTGGTGGCCCGAGCACTTTGCCAGTGAAAGCGAGCTTTTGAGCTTCATTTTCAGTTGTGACGGCCTCCTGCAACCCTCTGCCAGTGAAAATGGAGCTCGGGCAAGATGACTGGGGCCCTCCCGAGTTCCATTTTTGCTGGCAGAGGGCCCATGGGCTATTTCCAGGGTGGCCCCATGGGCCAGATCTAAGCACCCTGCAGGCTGGATCCGGCCCCTGGGTCTTGAGTTTGACACCCCCCGATTACATCAATCAGTTAAGAGGAAGGTAATTACAAAGGAAAGGGATGCGGTGGCTCAGTGGCTAAGACACTGAACTTATCAATCGAAAGGTCAGCAGTTCGGCGGTTCGAATGCCTAGTGTCGCATAATGGGGTGAGCTCCCATTATTTGTCCCAGCTTCTGCCAACCTAGCAGTTCGAAAGCACGTAAAAAATGCAAGCAGAAAAATAGGGACCATCTTTGGTGGGAAGGTAACAGCGTTCCGTGCGCCTTTTGAGTTTAGTCATGCCAGCCACATGACCATGGAGACATGTTCGGACAGCGCTGGCTCTTTGGCTTTGAAACGGAGATGAGCACCGCCCCCTAGAATCGGGAACAACTGACATATATGTGCAAGGGGAACCTTTACCTTTACCTTTAATTACAAAGGAAGAAAAGAAGGAAGAGAAAGAGTAAGACAGGAGCTACTCATCGGAAAGAAGGGTGGCAATCTCAATTCTATTATTTTTCTCTTATCTTTCCTTTGTTCTTTATACTTTTATTGTATTTAATCATGCTTATAAAAATAAATACAGAAAAAGGGAGAATATTGCAGATGGATCACATCCTTTTGCAAGGAAAAATGGTCTAATTTGATTTCCCTGTCTAGCAGTAATATAGTAACTAATGTGAGTTTGAATGAAATAATGTAAAATAAGTCATTGCTGGGATCACATTTGCTATTGTCTGCCATGCCGTAGCAATTATAGAGTTAAAACCAATTTTCTGCTTATTATGAGCTCTCCAAATACAAAACATAAGAAAAGGCAGCAGCTAAATGTCTATAATAACTTAACCGAACAGTTAATTTATTAGATTGGTGGACTGGCAATCAGATGTTAATTTACTTTCATTAAAGGGTAGGCAATCTTGGCAGCTGGCATGGCGGCATATGTCTGGATCAGCTGCCACTTTGCACAATGAGCACAGAAGAAATAGCTTATTTGTAGCAGATGACGCAACTCAGGGAATGTAGTGCCAAAAAGACCTGAGGGACTTATGTCCCTTTTAATAACCGTGAGTTGTTATTTCACTTGTGGGACGCCTTGTTACAATTTCTCAGGACACTGACTGTAGAGTGCAAAGATAAAAGGTAAAGGTAAAGGTTCCCCTCGCACATATGTGCTAGCTGTTCCCGACTCTAGAGGGCGGTGCTCATCTCCGTTTCAAACTGCTAGGTTGGCAGAAGCTGGGACAAGTAACGGGAGCTCACCCCGCTTTATTTATTTATTTATTTATTTATTTATTTATTTATTTATTTATTTATTTATTTATTTATTTATTGGTTCGATTTATATGCTGCCCTTTTCCGGAGACTCAGGGCGGCTTACAATGCGTTAAGCAATAGCCTTCATACTTTTGTATATACCTGCTTAGTAGGGCTTTCGCCCCCCCCCCCAAGTGGTGTTCTTTTTTATACAGTCAGCTTATTGCCCCCACAAACTGGGTCCTCATTTTATCTACCTCGAAAGGATGGAAGGTTGAATCAACCTTGAGCCTGGTGAGATTTGAACTTGCAAGTAATTGCAGGCAGCTGGTGTTACTTAACAGTGCTACGCGGCACTAGGGATTCGAACCGCTGAACTGCTGACCTTTCGATCGACAAGTTCAGCATCTTAGCCACTGAGCCACCACATCCCTTTTGAGTGCAAAGACAGGGTTATTCAAATAAAGAATAAGCCAGGGTTTATTAAATAATGGGGAAATTCGCCGAGCCCTTATGAAGCACGAATGAAATCACAATGTAGGACATTATCCAACCTGGTGCCCCTCATGTTATCATTTCCAACCATTCTGGGGTCAAAGTCCAACTGTGGGCAATGATATTTGGGGGGATTTTACATATAATCATAGTTATGGTCTGTAGCCTATTAGTGTTATCCAGTTAGAAGAGCTGTGGTGGCACAGTGGTTAGAGTGCAGTACTGCAAGCTACTTCTGCTGACTGCCAGCTGCCTGCAATTTGGCAGTTCGAATCTCACCAGGCTCAAGGTTGACTCATCCGTCCATCCTTCCGAGGTCAGTAAAATGAGGACCCAGGTTGTTGGGGGCAATATGCTGACTTTGTAAACCACTTAGAGGGGGCTGTAAAGCACTGTGAAGCGATGTATAAGTCTAAATGTTTGTTTGTTTTTGTTTGTTTATGTTTTATTAAATTTGTATACTGCCCTACTCCCGAAGGACTCAGGGCAGTGAACAGGCACAGGATAAAATACAGAAATACAAAAGTTAGAAACAATTTAAAACCAAATTAAATAATTTAGCCCACGACAATTTAAAATCCCAATAATTTAAAAACAAATTAAAATTTCAGTTTAAAAATTTAAAAGAAAGGTGAGAAAAATTAGGCCATGCTATTTCTATTGCTACAGGTAGTCCACAACTCTAATTCTAGTTGTTAGAACATGATAATCATTAAGCAGGACATCATGTGACAGTTTTATGACCTTTTTGTGGCAGTCATTAAGCGAATGCCATGGTTGTAAAGAGAATGCTGAAGTCATTAACTGAACCCATTGTTCGCTATGACACATTCATAAGCAAATGCCGGGTTTTTAGCCAAAAAACGTAAATCATAGTTACGTGAGTGCGGGATTCTGCAAATGGTCAGCTGGTTGCCGAGTCTCCAAAATGTGGTCACATGACTGCGGGGTGGGGGATAGCCATCTTAACTTTGAATCTGGGTTATACAGAACTTTGGGGGGGGGTCTGTCATAACTTCGAATTGAAGAATTTCGTTAGAATTTTTACTAACTGATAGTAAACATTTGTAGTAGTTCGGAGAACAGGTAATAACATTGGCTGGCCACGCCCCTGAACCGGTCCCCGGCCCGGTCGCTGCTCGCTTACCCCGCCCACCTCATCAGAGGCTATTTTTTTTTTACTTTTAAAGGTATTTTTTCTACAACCTCTTCGGCCGAAAAAATGCTTTTAAAAGTAAAAAAAAAAAGCCTCTGATGATCATGCGGCTCAACTGGAATCGTCAGTGGCTTTTAAAAGGATTTTTTCTACAACCTCTTCGGCTGAAAAAATGCTTTTAAAAGTAAAAAAAAAAATTGGCCATGCCCACCCAGTCACATTACCCCCCCACCAAGCCACACCCACAAAATAAGCCACGCCCACAGAACCGGTAGTAAAAAAATTTAGAGCCCACCCCTGGGTGAAATCCAGCAGGTTCTGACAGGTTCTGGAGAACCGGTAGCGGAAATTTTGAGTAGTTCAGAGAAGCAGCAAATACCACCTCTGGCTGGCCCCAGAGTGGGGTGGGAATGGAGATTTTGCAATATCCTTCCCCTGGAGTGGGATGGGGATTTTGCAGTATCCTTCCCCTGGAGTGGGGTGGGAATGGATATTTTGCAATATCCTTCCCTCAGGAATGGGAAGGGAATGGGGATTTTGCAGTATTCTTCCCCTGGAGTGAGGTGGGAATGGAGATTTTGCAGTATCCTTCCCCTGCCACGCCCACCAAGCCACACCCACCAAGCCACGCCCACAGAACTGGTAGTAAAAAAAAATTGAATTCCACCACTGATTTAACTCCAATCATGGCAATATTCCTGACTGAAATAATTGCCGTGCCTTATTTATTTATTTATTTTTGATGTTTTGAATCTATGGAGATTCTCAAGCATCCAGATCCTGGTTGTCCAGAAGGATCTTCTTGGTTTGTTTTGTTGGTTTTTTTGTTGTTGTTTTTTTTGTTTTGTCCTTGAAAATCAAGGGAAATGTTAAAGATGTTTTGAATCCTGCCAATCTTTGGAGGCATTGTTCCAATCAACTTCGGGAGCTTTTCAAAGGATTCCAAGCATTTCTTCTTCAATCTGTTGTAATGGGAATACACCGTGTAACCTCCTCTCATTTTTGCTCTTCTCTTAGGATGTCACATTTACTTTGTTTCTCTCAGTCTTTACTGCAGTTTTGGGTTTTTTCCAATATGGCTACTGTATTGGAGTCATCAACGCTCCTCAACAGGCAAGTCAATTTGATTATTTACATGTGCATTCATATCACAGCCATATTTGGGACTTGGGGCACCTTAACTATCTGGATATTTTCAGGAAAGAGATACTGGGCTGTTCCACCCCCCCGCCCACCCCCAAAAAGTGTCACTTCCGCTTACAACATTAGGCAAAGCAATATAAAAATGTATGATCCCTGCTACAGGTAGTCCTCGATTTACGAGCACAATTGAGGCCCAAATTTCTGTCGCTAAGTGAAACATTTGTTAAGAGACCTTCCTGTTTTCTGACCTTCCTTGCTTGTTAAGTGAATCACTGAAGTTTGTTAGTAACGTGGTTGTTAAGGGAATCTGGCTTCCCCTTGCTGGTCAGAATGTCACAAAAGGGATCACATAACCCCAGGACACTGTAACCATCATAAATATGAGTCAGTTGCCAAGCATCTGAACTTTGATCATGTGATCAAACGGTCACATGATGCTGCAACGGTCGTACCAGGGGTGAAATGCTCCCAATTCGGACCGGAATGCCCGATCCGGTAGCGATGGCAGCGGGTGGTTCAGAGAACCGGTAACAAAAATCCCTGAGCCCCCACACCATGCTCAGCTGAGTTGCACAATCTTCAGAGGCTTTTTTTTTTTTTTTACTTTTAAAAGCATTTTTTTCTACAACCTCTTCTGATGAAAAAAGTGCTTTTAAAAGTAAAAAAAAAAGCCTCTGATGATCGCACGGCTCAGCTGGAATCGTCAGAGGCTTTTCAAAGCATTTTTTCTGCAATCTCTTGGTCGAAGAGGCGGTAAAAAAATGCTTTGAAAAGTCTCTGACGATCCCAGCTGAGTTGCCTGATCGCCAGTGGCTTTTCAAAACATTAGAAAAAATGCTTTGAAAAGTTAAAAAAAAAAAGTTGGCCACGCCCACCCAGTCACATTACCTCCACCACCACCAAGCCACGCCCACATAACCGGTAATAACACATTTTACATTTCACCCCCGGGTCGTATGCGTGAAAAACAATCATAAGTTGTTGGAGATTCTCAGTCATCCAGGTCATGGTTGTCCCAGAGGTGCTTTTTCAAGAGGCAACTGGACTTTCTTTCTTGTTTTTCTTTGAAGACGTTTCGCTTCAACTCAAGAGCTGAAGAAGCTTCTTGGATGAGAAGTGAAACCTCTTCAAAGAAGATCCAAAAAGTCCAGCCAGTGGCCTCTTGAAAAAGCATCTTTGGGGCGATCGTAAATCATGTTTTCAGTGCCGTTGGAACTTCGAACGGACCCTAAATGAACTGTTGTAAATCGAGGATTGCCAATATTGGCTTGGATCTAAGGTAATACAAATCAACACTTAGAGGACAGCATCCATATATCCATTTATTAGCGCACTTTCTTCCTTTGCAGCGTGAGAGTGATTGAAGCTTCCAGTTTCAGTTCAGCATCCTTTCATCTGCTCCAACAATTACAATTAGTTTTAACCCAGCATGATTTGAGTAAGCTAGGGCCATGCACCCCAATTTGACGCTTGAGAAAAATAAAAGGACAAAAAATGCATTCAAGTGCTGCCAATCTCTTTCATCGTGTTAGGTGTATTCTATGCTATTTTCCACGCACGCCTGAAACGTAACAATTAGGGGACCAATTTCAGCAACGAGAGGTGTGAAAACTCCCAATTAGTACAAAACTTGCATGGTTTTGCATGTAACCACAAAGCTCCTTTTCCTGAATAGGTTAGCACTACAGGTTGAGATATCTTGGGGGGTGGGGAAGCTATCGAGATAGATAACACTCAGATATATTTCTTGTACTAATCGTGATCCTCATTGCCAATTCCTAAACACCAATTTCAATTATGTATTCTTATTAAAAGTTATTTATTTATCACACAAATTTATACAGCTGCTCAACTCTCACATGATGACCAGGGCAGTGGTGGGTTGCCCTCGGTTCGGACCGGTTTGCAAGAACCGGTAGTAAAACTGGCAGGAGGCTCTGCCTACTGACCCGGACGTCATCAGTGATCTGCGCATGCCGACCAGGGGTGGGTTCTACTTACCTTTACTACTGGTTCGCATCGTGCCTGTGCGCTCTTCCGCGCATGCGCAGATCACTTACGATGACGTCCGAGTCAGTGGACGGAGCCTCCCGCCGGTTTTACTACCAGTTCTTGCAAAGCAGTCAAACCGAAGGCAACTCACCACTGATGATGACTCTGGGCAGCATAATACAGAATTGGAACATTGGTCTGGAAGGGACCTTGGCTGTCTTCTAGTCTAACCCCCCCTCCTCATGCCAGGAGACCTTAACATTCACAGTTAAAATTCACAGTTAAAAACTCACTGTTTAAACCCTGACCCTAAAACAATTATGTTTGAAAGAGCCTAAAGAGCCTTGATGGCGCAGCAGACTAAAGTGCTGTTAAGTAGCACCAGCTGCCTGCAATTACTGCAAGTTCAAATCTCACCAGGCTCAAGGTTGATTCAGCCTTCCATCCTTTTGAGGTAGGTAAAATGAGGACCCGGATTGTGGGGGCAATAAGCTGACTTTGTATAAAAAAGAACACCGCTTGGGGGGGGGGGCAAAAGCCCTACTAAGCAGGTATATACAAAAAGTATGAAGGCTATTGCTTAACTCATTGTAAGCCGCCCTGAGTCTCCGGAGAAGGGCGGCATATAAATCGAACCAATAAATAAATAAATAAATAAATAAATGCAGATTTGGAACATATATTCTAATAGGTATTCTTAGTTGTTAAAAAAATCCAGACCCAAAAGGTGGTTTTTCAAAAGGCAACTTTCTTTATTTTTCCTTTGTTTCACTTCTCATCCTGATGGGCAAATTCAGGTTGTGAAACATGCACTGTCCAAATAAACTTAGTTTTTAGGAGTAATGAAATGACTAATGCATTTTTGTTAACACAGATCATAATGACGCACTATGCAAAGGTCCTGGACATTGAAAGTACTAAAAATTCCACTGGCAGTTTTTTAATTGAAGAAGTATTGAAAGATCCAACGCTCATGATGCTTTGGTCCTTGTCTGTCTCTATGTTTGCTGTTGGCGGGATGATTTCCTCCTTCACTGTTGGCTGGATTGGGGAAAACATGCCACGGTGAGAAACATTTTTCCTTGTTGCGTTTCATGTCTCGCTAGAAAAATAAAATGGGCGTTCTGTGTGAATAAGGAGATGATGAAAATCATTCTTATTGGGTTCTGACCACCAATGACACATTGCAGAAATTACAATGAGACGATAGCTTGAGAAAATTTAAGGAAATAAGGCATGTGAATGTCTGTCTATCTGTCTGTCTGTCTGTCAGTCAGTCTATCCGTCTATCCATTCATCCAGAATAGAATAGAATAGAATAGAATAGAATAGAATAGAATAGAATAGAATAGAATAGAATAGAATAGAATAGAATAGAATAGAATAGTTGTCACTTTGAATGTACACTAATCGGCATAGGTTAAAATGAAATTTCGTTGCATACAGCTCTCAAAAGGTCACTATCTCCAATATACACTACATAAACATGACAAAATAAATAAATAAATGCATAATTATGCATATACCCACATATATTATATGATCCAGAGAAACAAGACAGTCTAGTTCGGATGTATTAATTCAGATGTATACATATACGTGGCGAAAAAAATGAATCTTGCAAGTTTACCAGCACAGGGAACAAAGTTGTTACAGAATCTGGTAGTTCTTCTAGAAATACTTAGAAACTTCTGTGTTGTTTATCTATCTGTCTGTCTGTCTGTCTGTCTGTCCATCTGTCCATCCATCTATACATCTATCCACCCATCCAATGGTGGGATTCAAATAATTTAACAACTGGTTCTCTGCCCTAATGATTTCTTCCAACAACCAGTTCACCAAACTGCTCAGAAAGTTAACAACCGGTTCTCCCGAAGTAGTGGGAACTGGCTGAATCTCACCACTGCACCTATCTGTCAATCTGTCTACCCATCCATCCATCCATCCATATATCTATCCATCTATCCACTATCCATCCAACCAACCAACCAACCAACCAACCAACCAACCAACCAGCCAACCAACCATTTATATGGCCAGCCACTGGCCATGTGATTTTGGGTATTGAACAATCCTTTAAAAATAATACCGTGTTTCCCCGAAAATAAGACCCTATCTTATATTTTTTTTGAACCCTTAAATAAGCGCTTGGCCTTATTGCCACGCACTCAAAAGCCTGATTGGGCTTATTATCAAGGGTTGTCTTATTTTGGGGGAATCAGGGTAACTAATCAAAAACAACACATCCTATTCTGGGTGACACAATCACATCTCCAAAAATGGGTTCATCCAGCATCCTGGCCCACAGCTTGGAAGGAAGAATTAAGTCTTCCATGCTTTGCAGGGTCAAGAACATCCAAACTTCAGGAGTTATACTGTTTCATAAGACAGGCACTGCAACATAATGTAATATGTCTTCTTCAAGGGCTGCACTGGTTACTGATCAGCTTCTGGGTGCAATTCAGGTTGTCATCTTCAAAACACTATATTGTTCAGAGTGTGGATATTTATGGAATAAATAGATATTTATTTATCTACCTTGTTTCCCTGAAAATAAGACCCTGTCTTATATTTTTTTGAACCCTGAACCCTGGCCTTATTGCCATGCGCTCAAAAGCCCGATTGGGTTTACTATCAGGGGATGTCTTATTTTGGGGGAAACAGGGTATTCCCAGTGACTTTCGTCCAATAAATTCAAGCAGGATAGGTGTGTTCTAGGATTTCCGGCTGAGGAACTTCTCCAGACATCCTGGAGATGCAAAGGATGGAGATTCAAAGAATATCTCCATCCATATATCATTTCCATAAACTAGGTTAATAGCTGCTAGCTTGGTTGATGTTAATGATGAAGCAGCTTAATGATATAATATATCTCAATAACTATCCTGAGAACAAAAAACAGAGAAGTCAGTTGTCTTCACGTTCTGTTTGTCAGTTTCACAAAATGTCTGCTTGACCACATAGCATAGCTAGGCTGGGGAATTCTGGGAGTTGAAGTCCACATATCTTCAAGTAGTCGAGGTTGAGAAACATTGCTTAAAGGATTACTCTGGAGAGGATGCTTCGCTGCCCATACTGCAAGACAGGGGGACAGAGACCCAGGGATGGGCTTCAAAAATTTCAGCAATGGGTTCTCTGCCCAGTTGCTGGGTGGGCGTGACCATGGTGGGCATGGCCTAGTTGGCCTCCTGCACCTCGGCAGGAGGGGGCATTTTCGCCTTCCCAAGGCTCCGGAGGCTTTCCTCGAGCCTCTGTGAGGGTGAAAACTGCCTCCCTTGGGCTCCAGAGGCCCATTTCCGGCCTTCTGGAACTTCCGGGAGGCCTGTTTTTCCCCCCTCCCTGAGCCTCCACACGGGCCCTGCACTTACCTTGCATCCAAAACGGGCCGCGTGGAGACTCCTGGGAGGGGCAGGGTCGGCGGGACGGGGCCAGCCAGAGGTGGGATTTGGAGATTCTCCAAACCGGCCATAACACCCGGTGAACCCGTAGCAGCCCATCCCTGCAGAGACCCCAAGAATAAGTTTTCCTAATAGTAGCCCTCTCTTTTCACAAAAGCATTATCTCCTGCAGTCACCCTAACATTTTTCGGGAAAGTGATAAAAGACTTTCTGTGGGACCGCACGGTAGGAAAAGTTTCAATTAGGACAGGAACAGGTTTCCACGTTTCATTTTCCAAAGCCTTTTTTTTTTTTTTTTAGTCCTGTGTATAGCCTCCCAGAATTGCCAATACAGTCAGCGCACAGAGATTGGAAATAAAATAATGAAACAGTGTAAGTGCCACAGTGGATGAGATGACAAGAATAGCAGCTATAATGAGAAAAGAGGATGACAGAGCAAAAAGCCTACTCTGCTACCTCTGGGAATTTATTAGGCCGAGGAGTGAAGGTTGAAGGAAGGGAAGCTGAAGGGTGCCTGCACTTCACCTTTATTAGAATAATTAAAGCACTGATACAGGCTACCCTTTATCTGGGCTGTGCAAATGTAATAGGACTGAACCATGATTAAGGGACTGAAGAGGAAAGGGGTATATTTACACAGGATGGCTGCTACGAAGTACAGTTCAACTGAGCTACAAAGCCACCTGATGACACTTCTTTTGAGAGGCATAATAGCACACTGTCCATCGATGTTTTATTTTGTGGCAGCTGTGTGATGTGAGTTCACCACTGATAACTAACAAGAGTGTGGAAAAACCCCTTCTGTGTTTTGTAAGCCAGTTTAGGGATTGTATGGTTACTAAGCTAAAGCTAGTCCTCAGTTTATGACTAGTGGCTTAGTGACTGTTCAAAGTTGCAATGAATTCTACCTTGGGGTTACATATGACCCAGATTCAAAGTTCTAATGGTTGCTACCCAACACTCCCATGATCACAGGAGTAAACTTTGGCACATGTGAAAACCAGCTGGCTGGCATGCCGGAACCCGGAAGAGTAACAGGCAATGGCTCGCATGCCCGGAAAGATAGATCTGTGTGCCATTTCCAGCATGCGTGCCATAGGTTTGCCATCACAGCTATATACCAACCAATCCATTTTATTTTTATTTTTTAAAATAAAATATTGATTTTCAAACATTAAAAATACCAAAAAAACAAAATACAAAAATAAAAAAAAAAATTTTTTTTGCAAGACTGTGACCATTTACACAACATATCACTAAAAAATTCTTATGCTCGATACATTTTACTTCATCTAATTCTACTATGTCTGAGTCTGTTTTACTTTTCTGTTTTCAATCCATTTGTACCATTTCTCCCATGATACATAATACTCCAATTATGAGTATTACGTAATACTGATACATAATACTGTCATTCCTTTCAATTCCAATGTCAGTTTATCCATTTCACCACAGTCAAAAAAAATTTTAATTATTAAGTCATCGGAGGGCATCTTTGCGTTCTTCCAACATTGTGCAAAGGCCAATCCATTTTAATTTATTTTTTTTTTTGGTAAATATTTTTTATTTATTTTTTCCAAATTGAAACATAAAACATAACTTTCAAGAGCAAAAAACACGATCCGGTCATAGATGGTTACCACGCTTACATTCCTTTCACAAGCTCAATTAACAATTTCCATTACATCTTTTATAAGTAAAAAAAAGAGAAAAGAGAAAGTAAAAAAGAAATTCAAAACTTAGAAAAAAACCAATTTTAACTCAAATTTAACATTTTCATCTATATAAATGCATTATATCTATACAGATTGATTTCAAATTCACTGTAACTCATTTTTGCATCTGCATATCAATTCTAATCATATCTTTATTCTTCTTTACCTTATATCTTATACAAGTCATATCAAAATAATTTTTACAATATTCTAACCTCTTATTAAGTGTTTACCTTACAATTTTATCACCATTACTCTTAATTTCCAATTCAATACCACTCCATTTTTATTATATTTTATAAAACAACATACTATCTAATTTTATGATGGTCACAACTTACAGTGGTGATGGGCAGGCTCCATTATGGTTGTAAGTCAGGGGCTATTCTGTATAGATTTTGGTTTTGTGCCATATATGAGCCTAGCCAATTCAGTTAACAACCCCTCATGAAAGGCAAGTAGTAAAACCTGCCTGTAAATTACAGCAGCAGCAGCCTTAGACTTAGTTAACACAGAACTAGTACAGTTTTAACCAAGGTTACTTAGTCTCTTCAAACGAGACTCAGGTTGGTGAAAAAAAAGCCCTGAATTTTGAGGTTTGACAAAAATAGGCTGCCTACCCAGCAATGTTCAGGAGACCGTCTCCTGCCACCAATAGCCTCCCACCGACCAGTTCGCTCCAACAGAGAGGGTCTCCTCAGGGTGCCATCGGCCAAGTTATGTCGGCTGGCGACACCCAGGGGGAGGGCCTTCTCTGTGGGAGCCCCAGCCCTGTGGAACGAACTGCCCCCGGAAATACATAAGATCTCTGACCTCCGGATGTTTCGCTGCGCACTGAAGACCCTGTTGTTCCGCCAGGCCGGATATCAACATAATAGTTTTAAATTGGGATATTTAAATTTTTTGGGGTTTTAAATCTGAGCCAATTTATTTAATTATTTTAAATTTTAAATTGCTGTTTGTCTGTGTTTTTAAATAGGTTGTACACCGCCCTGAGTCCTTCGGGAGAAGGGCAGTATAGAAATAAAATTATTATTATTATTATTATTATTATTATTATTATTATTATTATTATTTTATCTACTATGGAGGTCCTTGCACTGTTTAGACACCAGCAGATCAAGTCATTTTGGATACTAAATTAAAGATCTAGTTATTTTGGGATATTACTGTTTTAATTTACCTTTATTAATGTTTTAATATGCCTTTATTATATTAATTGTTTAATATACCTTTTCCTGCTACTCTAGAGTGAGAGCCATGCTACTGGTGAATGTTTTTGCAATCTCTGGGAATATAATTTTTGTAATGGCAAAAAGTGGCCCTTCTCACATCCTGGTAATTATTGGAAGAGTCTTAACAGGCTTGCATGGTGGTAAGTTAAAAAGCTGGTTCTCAATAGAGCTTTTCTCCTCGGATTTTTCCTGACACTTCCGTGATTGTTTGCAAATGAAAAAGGAACAGGCTGCATTATCAACTTGGCTGGGAGCAGTGATTCTCTAGGGTTGAGGTTTTTCCTAGTTATTCTGGGGATCGAACCAGGGATCTTCTCTTGGGGAAACAGGCACTCCATCATCCATCACCATCAGCAAGGCATTTGACAAAGTAGACTATAACCTACTTCTTGGTAGGCTAGAAAAAAGGACCAGAAGGACCAGGGGAGACATGATAGCAGTGTTCCAATATTTGAGGGGCTGCCACAGAGAGGAAAGGGTCAAGCTATTTTCCAAAGCACCTGAAGGCCAGACAAGGAATAATGGATGGAAACTGATCAAGGAGAGATTCAATCTAGAAATAAGGAGAAATTTTCTGACAGTGAGAACAATCAACCAGTGGAACAGCTTGCCTTCAGAAGTTGTGGGTGCTTCATCACTGGAGGCTTTCAAGAAGAGATTGGACTGTCATTTGTCAGAAATGGTGTAGGAACTCCTGCTTGGGTGGGGGATTGGACTAGATGACCTACAACGTCCCTTTCAACTCTGTTAATCTGTTAAATCTGTCATCCAGATTCTGAAATTAGCATATGGTATACATGAATTTAAGACAGAAAAATCTGAGTATAAGGAGATGACAGAGAAGTAAGATCCAGATCCAGCAATCTCAAGCAACTATCAGAGCTGTCAGTGATTGAGAGGATTACAACAGAAACTGACAACAGTATCTGGTGGAAATCCGATAACCATCTGCTGAGGGTTACATATTACAACTAATGCTTGCATTCAATAACAGCAATGGTTCTCAACCTGTGGTCCGTGCATATTTGGGGGCCCACAATGTCATTATAGGAGATCCATGATGGCTTGAAGAAATGTTATGACTTAAATCTTCAGTTAAGTCTGGGGGGGGTCTGTGGTCATGGTCCATGGCCACAAAAGGTATTTAAAGGGTGTCTGTGCTGAAGAGAAGGTTGAGAACCACTGCAGATAAAACCCAGACAATTGTACCAAAGAACTAGAAGAAGGGATAGGCAATTTATTGCCTTCTAGCATGGTTCTAGATGAGTTGTTGTTAGTTGTAAAGTCATGTCCGATCCATCGCAACCCCATGGACAATGTTCCTCCAGGCCTTCCTGTCCTCTACCATCCTCTGGAGTCAATTTAAGCTCACGCCTACTGCTTCATTGACTTCATCCAGCCACCTCATTCTCTGCCGTCTCCTTCTTCTTTTGCCCTCAATTGTTCCCAGCATTAGGCTCTTCTCCAGTGAGTCTTTCCTTCTCATTAGATGGCCAAAGTATTTGAGTTTCATCTTCAGGATCTGGCCTTCTAAAGAGCAGTCAGGGTTGATCTCCTCTAGGACAGATTGGTTTGATCACCTTGCAGTCCAAGGGACTCACAGGAGTCTTTTCCAGCACCATAGTTCAAAGGCCTCAATTCTTTGGTGCTCAGCCTTTTTAGATGAGTAGAGCAGCTCAAATGCATCTAGAGATTGCGTTGAAAGAGACAAGGACTTCAGGAAAGCTAGAACCAAGGTGACAATAGTAAGAAGCAATTTAGGCCTATGCAATCAAGAAATAATAAATTTAAAAAATTGAAAGTGTTCCAAATTTGGCCAGCGTCTAGAACCACTTTCTTTCCCATATCAGTGCCATGTTGTGAGAAACAATATGCTGCTATCAAGGAAGAAACCACATGAAGTCACCCACACATAACTTAAAGGAGTATTTGGTTTTATTTACTGAAACATCTACATTCTTGAAACAGATAGAAGTTCTCAGGGTTTTTTTAATGTTTATATGACATATTTTTTTGGAATATGATTTTCCACCATATTTTAAAGGCGTTCTTAAGATAGCTGGGGAAATGATGGTTTTGATGATTGAAGATGCTACAGTCAGTGCTCCTGTCTGTTTGTATTTGTCCAGGACTCTCATCTGGACTTGCTCCATTGTATGTTGGAGAAATAGCTCCAACTGCTCTCCGTGGAGCTCTGGGCACCCTGAATCAGCTGGCTATTGTTATAGGTATTCTCATCAGCCAGGTAGGTAAGACTGCATGGAGGACTCAGTATCCATGTAGCTAAGTTGTGCTATCATGACTCTTTATCTGTACTTTAGTTAAAAATTAATTCCTAGTTTCTTGATCTGGTTATTGCATGCATTTATTTATGAAGCATATTTATGTTTGAGACTCTAGAAAGAGTGCAGAGAAGAGCGACGAAGATGATTAGGGGACTGGAGGCTAAAACATATGAAGAATGGTTGCAGGAACTGGGTATGTCTAGTTTAAGGAAAAGAAGGACTAGGAGTGACATGATAGCAGTGTTCCAATATCTCAGGGGCGGCCACAAAGAAGAGGGAGTTAAGCTATTCTTCAAAGCACCTGACGGTAGGACAAGAAGCAATGGGTGGAAACTAATCAAAGAGAGAAGCAACTTAGAACTAAGGAGAAATTTCCTGACAGTTAGAACAATTAATCAGTGGAACAACTTGCCTCCAGAAGTTGTGAATGCTCCAACACTGGAAATTTTTAAGAAAAGGTTGGATAACCATTTGTCTGAAGTGGTGTAGGATTTCCTGCCTAGGCAGGGGGTTGGACTAGAAGACCTCCAAGGTCCCTTCCAACTCTGTTATTCTATTCTTATACATCAAGATTCCAAGTAAAAATAAATTTTTTAAATATCTGAAAGCAAACAGCAAATGCTTGCATCCTTGCATACTGACAATGCTATAGTTTCTATTGTTTTAATGATCATAAAAACTGTTTAAATACACCCAGCAATCAGCCAGTCATCAGAAAATTTGGTACCAGTTGCAGACAATATTTCTCCATCTATATTCATCCTAGGAAAACAGAGGGAACAGTCTCAAAATTATAGGGTCCTTGGTGCTCTCTGAATCTTTAAACTGCCCCTCAATTTGGAGCAGTGTGGACCAAAGCTGTTCTGTGTGAATCAGATATGTCAGTACTATTGCACAATGATTGAAAGTATTTGTCTATGTGTCACCCTATCGTGTGCCTGTCTACCTGTAAATACCCAATATGTAAATGTCTATGGAGATTCTCAGTCATCTAGGTCATGGTTGTCCCAGAGGTGCTTTTTCAGGAGGCAACTGGACTTTCCTTTTTTTTTCTTTGAAGACATTTCGCTTCTCATCCAAGAAGCTTCTTCAGCTCTGACTGGATGGTAGTGAATGGAAGGATTTATAAGCTGTCTGCAAGGAATATAAATCCTTCCATTTCCCACCATCCAGTCAGCGCTGAAGAAGCTTCTTGGATGAGAAGCAAAACATCTTCAAAGGAAAAAAGGAACAAGAAAGTTCAGGTGCCTCCTGAAAAAGCACCTTTAGGATACCCAATATGTACAGCAATTGTATTGCTGGCATCACCATCAGAAGAAAAAGATTGCATCTGGATTCCACTCCTACTGAAATGAACCATAAGAAGTGTCCTTAGGAAAGAGTTTTATTGATGTCACCACTTCACATACTCTTCCTTATTAATGCCAAGAGTCTTGACTTGACAAGACTTTTATTTAAATTGATATATACCATTCTATATTTTTTCCAGGTTTTGGGACTGGATATTTTGTTGGGCACATCAAAATGTTGGCCATTACTTCTGTCCCTGTCAGGTGGTGCTGCTGTCTTACAGATTTTTCTGCTCCTAATTTGTCCAGAAAGTCCCAGATACATGTACATAAAATGTGGAGATGTTGAAGGAGCCCAAAAAAGTAAGAAGACTTCTTCCAACTGCTTGAAAAATCATGTTGACAAATGCGGGTCGTAGCTTCCTAGGAGAAGTGGAACTTAGTTTGGATGAGGATAGTAGTATAGTTGACTCTAATTAGTTTCGCTCTGAAGCAGGGGTGTCAAACTTGATTTCATTGAGGGCCAGATCAGGGTTGTGTTTGATCTTGGGGCGCTGGGGCGCTGGGGCGAGCATAGCCAGGTGGGCGTGGCCAGCTTGATGTCACTCATGTCAGAGGCCAGAGCGCTCTGCCAGCAAAAACGGGCTTCCGAGTTCCATTTGCGGCTGTGGCAGCCTCCTGCAACCCTCTGTTAGCAAAAATGGAGCTCGAGGGGGCTGCATGTGGCCCTCCCAAGCTCCGTTTTTGCTGCCAGAGGCACCGCTTTGCTGGCTGAGGAATTCTGGGAGTTAAAGTCTAAAAGACTTAAAGTTGCCAAGGTTGGAGATCCCTGCTCTAAAGGTTTTTGCTTGCCTCCTAAGACCATTGCTTTCTTATAATCCCTTCTTCTCCTATAAATGTAAACAGAAACATCACAGCTTCAGGATTAAGGGCTATATAAGGTTTACCCTTTTACCTGGCTTCTTTGTGTTTCCCCAGAGTTTAGGCTCACCTGGCAATTGTTCACCTAGCAATTGCTTTGCTTTAAGATCAAGTAGCTAGTCATCCAATGTCATTAAATGAGGGCTACCTGGAGCTCTTTTCCATAAAGAAAGACTTCTAACATTTCCTTCCTAGATTTACTAAAACTGAGAGGACAAAACTATGATCCCACCAAAGAAATTGAGGAAATGGAGAAAGAGAAAGAAGAATTGTCAAAAGAAAAACCTGTCTCCATTTGGCAGCTGGCTACAACTGAGACTTACCGCCAGCCATTCATAGTGGCCATAGGCGTTCATATTGCTCAACAGTTTTCTGGAATTAATGCTGTGAGTTGTTTTTTTTTTTGCTGATGGGTATTGTAGAAAGTTAGCACCCACCCCTCTCCTAGAAGAATGAAATATTTTGATAAATATTTAAAAGGCAGAATATTATATTTCCCTAAAGGAGAAACATATTTTTCCAGAGAGAAAGCAGCCTCCACCTTTCTTAATAGCCCTCAGCAGATGTCAGCACTTAAAAGATAGACATAGCTCTATTCATAAGCAAATACCCTCACCCACGATCCAACAAAGGTAGGATTAGCCCTCAGCCACAATAGGAATTGCCCAATGCCCCTTCATTGCATCACCCTCAGAAACTTCAACCAAACTTAGCTCAGACAAACTCCTAGGATTTGTACATGGAACCATGGGAGTCTGACAACAGCCAATAGAATAACATGTTCTTGCACAGGAACAGAAAGCTCAAGTGCAAAGCCCAAGAGAAGGTATAAACCCCACCACTCTCAACTCCATGTGGTCAGCTGCACCAGAACCCATGTGGTTCTGTTCATCATTAAACCATCTCTCCAATCAACCTCCATGCTTCCAGTGTCTTTCTCCCAGCTTGGAACTGAACCAGATGGATATTTATTCCAACAGTATTAATACTAAATGTTTACTGATATCACTTATACACAGCTATCTGGGAGTGTTATTCAGCTGGGTGGGAGTTCTAGGCAATGCAATAACAGAAATGAATATCTGTAGCTCGGGGTTGAACTGTAAAACACTTAATGCTCTCTGAGCTTAGCTGTTCGCTTGCAGACATTTCATTACCTGACTCCATAATGTCATCAGTGCTCAATCCAATAATAGATTTCACAAGTGATAATTAAACCACAAGCACTGGGGAAATTGGTTGAAGTCAGCTCCAACATATCAGTAAGATTGTTAATATATTCTGGGAAATATTTCCAATTTTATAAATACAGCTGCCGGTTAATGTGCTAGCAGCCTCCTGAAATTTCATTTAAGTCAAAGACAAAACTTGCGTACACAGTGTGGTGAAAGGACTTTTGCTGCTACTAACAGATTACTTTTGTCTCCCTTGTTAGATTTTCTACTACTCTACTGACATTTTCAACAAAGCTCATGTTAAGAAGCCTATTTATGCAACCATAGGTGTCGGCTTTGTGAATACGGTGTTCACCGTTGTTGCTGTAAGTAGCAATAGCAATAGCATTTAGACTTATATGCCACTTCGTAGTGCTTTACAGCCTTAAGTGGTTTACAGAGTCAGCATACTGCCCCCAATAATCTGGGTCCTCATTTTACCAACCTCAGAAGGATGGAAGGCTGAGTCAACCTTGAGCCGGTAAGGATTGAACTTCGGGCAGTCGGCAGAATTAGCCTGCAATACTGCATTCTAATCACTGCGCTACCGCGGCTCTTTTTTCAGTGCCTTCAGACACTGAAACTTTAAAAAGTAAGCACAATTTATGTGTAATATGCTTGATGTGGATCCAAACTGGTGGCTGAAGAGTTATTTTATCCAACTATAATAACTGAAAAAAGTGACTTATGACTGTTTTTCACACTTACGACCATTGCAACATCCCCAAAGTCACATGATCAAAATTCAGATGCTTGGCAACTGACTCATATTTATGACTGTTGCGTGTCCCGGGGTCATGTGATCCCTTTTTGTGACCTTCCATCGAGCTAAGTCAATGGGGAAGCCAGATTCATTTTAACAACCATGTTACTAACTTAAGAACAGCAGTGATTCAACCGAACCACTGTGGTCAGAAAGGTTGGAAAATGGGGCAAAACTCACTTAGCTGTCTCACTTAGCAACAGAAATGTTGGGCTCAATTGTGGCCGTAAGTGGAGAACTACCTGTACTTTTTGTCTTATTGTTGTAGAATGGATAATGCCATGTTCTGCCACTGGGTGGAGCTATAAAGCTCAACGAAGCCTTTTGTCCTAAGATGAGTCCCATGAGATAAAAGTCCTGCATCACTGTTTCTCAGCCTTGACAAGTTGAAGGTGGACCTCAACTCCTGCTGGCTGGAGAATTCTTGGAGTTCAGGTCCACACATCTTCAAGTTGTCAAGGTTGAGAAACACTGCCCTAAATCCTTTTAGTCCAGCATTCTGCATCACGCAGTGGCCAACTGGGTGCATGTGGAAAGCTCACAAATCTAGATTTCCCCCAAGGTGATTTTTCAAGAGGCAACTAGACTTTCTGGCTTTTCTTTGAAGACATTTCACTTCTCTTCCAAGAAGCTAACAATTTTTCCACTTTTTTTCCCTTCTCCTTTTAAAAGTCAAGACTATTTAGGAGAGTTTTAGATTTGCCTCAATGCCAGGAAATTGTCAACTAGGCTGATGACATATTCATCCATGGGAATAATGTTGAGTAGGAAGTGCTTGTTTATTACACAGAGCTGCTATTCTGTGCAATTCAAGTTAGAAGCATAATAGACAGGCAGAGACATCTACCTTACGGTAGCTTGTGCCTTGCAGATGCTTTGAGGTTTGGTTCAAAGGTGGGTTTCAGCAGGTTCTGACAGTTCTGGAGAACCGGTAGCAGAAATTTTGAGTAGTTCAGAGAACCGGTAAATACCACATCTGACTGGCCCCGTCCCCATCTATTCTCTGCCTCCCGATCCCAGCTGATTGGGAGGAAATGGGGATTTTGCAGTAACCTTCCCCTGCCAGGCCCACCAAATCACGCCTACAGAACCGGTAGTAAAAAATGTTGAAACCCACCCACTGGTTTGGTTCTTATGAACCCCAGGCTGCATAGACAAGAAGATGAGAAATTTTAATGAAAAACATCTGGAGGATACACCAAGTGCCCTATCCTGACCACAATTCTGCAGTTGCTCTTAGGGTTTGTTTTATAGATTGTGGTTTAACAACCTTTCTTGGAAATGTTACAATTTGAGACTACCAAGCGTAGAAGACTTCTTCCTAAGGAATTTAGCATTACAGAAAGGAATGGGACTTGCATCTGAAGAAATCTAGGTAGGATTCCATGGAAACAAAGAAGAAATATTAGTTCTTTTTAAAAAAAAAAAAAAGATCAGGACAGCTTTGGACATTGTCCCAAAGTTTGAATTATAAACTGTATTTTCCCCCTTCTGTTTCGTTAGAATCCTAGTGTTCTATTAACCTTGGTTCTAAATAGCAGTTTTCAAATTTTGTCTTTTGACAACTGAGGTAAAATATGTCGTCCTGGTTCCAACCGGTGTTTATTTTTCTCTACAAAGCTTTTAAATATTATCTGAACTTTATCAGAAAATCAATGACTGGTAGTCCAGACCAACAGGTAGACGTAACCATTTATTTGAACTTTGAGCGCTGAAGTAGCAGAAAAGAGCTGCTACTCAGAATAAAATGAGCTGAGGTCAGCAATTCGATAGATGGGATATCAGCCAAGAGACGATGATATAGGATTACAAAGTTCCCCCCAAGGGGTGAGACATTTTAAGGACAAGACTTTTGTGTTTTATTTCCTTCGAATATGAACCCCAATGACGAAAGGTATTGTTGTAATCCTTGATTTATATCAGCAGACTTTTGTTTTTTTATCTCTCTGCAAGAGAAAACCCACCAGAGATTAGGATTAAAAGTATGGAATTTATAACCACCAGAGACGGTTTTTAAAGGGGACTGGACACCTTCACGAAGAAGAGAGCTGTCAATTATTACAAAAGTCGATGACCGATTGCTATCTCGGAGCTACTGAGCCCGTACTGTGATCTTAAAACACAAGAATCCATTCAAAGACCATTTGTTATCATTCGGATAGGAAAGAAAAATTCCCCGAATTGTTAAAAGTAATTTTGCTTAATTTTAAAGCAGTCATAAGCTCTGCTTCATCAGAGATGCAAACCAGCTTCAAAGCAAAAATAGGCTTGTCAGAGCAGTAAAAATAAATAAATATAATAAAACGCCAACATTAGTCCCTCATTCATGTTTAATGGCTTAAAGGAATAGAATACGGTATTCTCTGAGCTAGAGAATTCCAGAGATGGGGGCTATAGCTATACTGTAACAGCAAAGGTCCTCTCCATGGAAAATAGATTAAAGGAAAACCAAGTGAGTTTTCCCCCTCCATTTTTTGAGGATTTCCTTGTTTTCCAAAGTCTGTTTCCATCCTCTACCTCTGTGCATGTGACAAAACTGAAAACAACTATCTTGACTCATGTAGAAAGTGACTCTTGGCCTACGATCCAGACTGCAGTCTGTTTACGCAGCTTCTAAAAATGCTACCCCAAAGCTCTACGATGTGATAAGAGAGAGGATTTTCAGCTCTGTTGATCTGTGTGCAAAGCCACTTTTTGTGATGGACCCAGGGGATTCCACATGCAAAAAGCTTTGATACTCACAATATAGCTTAGTCGCATTGCCCTGTTGAAGTTGACTGTTCAATCAACAAAACTTAACTCTTTTTCCCTTTCTCCTCAACACCCACCCCCCAAAAAAACCCCACTTTCAGCTTTTCCTGGTGGAGAAAGCAGGGAGACGTATCCTCTTTATGGCCGGTCTGTTAGGCATGATGGTGTGTACCATAACAATGACTCTTGGGCTCCTACTTCAGGTAAGATACCTGTGTCAAGTGTTCAGTTATTAGTTCTGTCAACATCCACTATGTTTGAACATCTAATCTCTCTAGCAGAATGTCACTGCTACTTGGTGGTGAGCTATTTTGTTATATAGTGTAAATCATGTTATGGATCATTGGCAACTTAATTTGCAAACCTCACCCTCCCAGTCAATTCCTTTATCCACATCAGAATAAGCACATATTCTACTTAGTTCAATTAACAAAAAATAAACTCCTTGATATTTATTAAACATCCGTAAACAAGTAAACAATTAACTAGTAAAATGGGATAACAGATAGACAAAAGCAGGGAATGATAGAAAAAGAGTTCACATTATCTTGTTTTTAAAAAATCAATCATAATAGAGCTGGAAAGCAGGAGAGCCTATAGGGGTGGACACCCCTATAAGGGTGAAATCTAGCAGGTTCTGACAGGTTCTGGAGAACTGGTAGCAGAAATTTTGAGCAGTTCGGAGAACCATTAGCGGAAATTTTGAGTAGTTCAGAGAACCGGCAAATATCACCTCTGGTTGGCCCCAGAGTGGGGAGGGAATGGGGATTTTGCAGTATCCTTCCCCTGAAGTGGGGTGGGAATGGAGATTTTGGAGTATCCTTCCCCTGCTATGCCCACCAAGCCACGCCCACCAAGCCACGCCCACAGAACCAGTAGTAAAATAATTCGGATTTCACCACTGCCCTATACCATTTCAGACAACTGACAATCCAGTCTCTTCTTTAAAACTTTCAGTGATGAAGCACCCACATGTCTGAAGACAAACTGTTCCACTGGTTAATTGCCCTCACTGCTAGGAAATTTCTCCTTAATTCCAGGTTGCTTCTCTCCTTGGTCTGTTTCCTTCCATTGCTTCCTGACCTGCCTTCTGGTGCCTCGGAAAGTAAATTGACCGCCTCCTTCCCATGGCAGCCTCCCAAATGCTGGATTAGTGCCATCATGCCATCCCTAGTTCCTCTTTTTTCTAGACTAGCCAAAGCCAAATCCTGCAACCGTTCTTCACAGGTTTTTTTGTCTCCAGGCCTCCGATCATCTTAGTTGCTCTTCTTTGCACTTTTTCCAAAGTCTCAACATCCTTTTTGTAATTTGGTGACCCTTATCTATATCAAAAGGGATAAAACTTTGCAGAGCCACTGGAAACATTAGTGCAGGTTATTAGCGTGGACAACTCGAAGAGGGATTTTGTTGAGCCAGCAGCAAATGTTTTATGTATCTAACAGTAGAGACGGAAGCATCAGATGTTTCCTTCTTCTGTTCTGCGCCATTAGGATCCTCTGTCTCAGGGTTTCTCAGCCACCGAAGCAGGTACCACTGTGACTGATGATGCACTGGAGTCATTTAACTGGGACGTGAATCCCTTCTCCAGATCAAGAGGAAACGAGAAAGAGGAGAGCAGAGCAGCAAGAGACAAATGTCAGCGTCTAATTGCATGTGCTGATGCAAAGGGAGCCAAGACTCAGTAACAGTAACAGAGTTGGAAGGGACTTTGGAGGTCATCTAGTCCAGCCCCCTGCTCCCCCTAGTCCAACCCTGACCACTGACATTGAGCTTGCCGATCAGAAAAGAACTGCCGACCTTTCTGATCGACAAGCTCAGTGTCTTAGCCACTGAGCCACCTAATCAGAGTGTGTTTCTTAAGTTGGAAACTGAAATATGTATATATGGAAAAGCTCTCTAGAAAAACACCATCTGAAATAGAATTGCTGTTCAATATTGTCCATACGTACAGCTAAGATATTGCGATGGAGTTTGGACTGGACAAATGTGCCACCCTCACCATCAACAGGGGAGAAAGTAATATTTGTATCTCTCTCTTCTGAGAGCTTAAAAGAAATCGGATGGTGTAGAACGGTGTTTCTCAATCTTGCAACTTTAAGAGGGGAGGGCTTCTACTCCCAGCATTCCCAGTATTCTGGGAGTTGAAGTCCACACATCCTAAAATTGCTAAGGTTGAGAAACGCTGGTACATACCATTGTGACACAACTTGAATGCAAACATGAAGCTTTTTTGGAAAGTAGATGGAACTGTTTGCAACTGCCTTATTCCAGATTATAATTTGCTCTCTAAATATAACCTATAATAACCATGGGATTCCCAGGTGGCTGCCAATCCAAATACCAACCATGCTGACATTTGGTATCTTCCAAGTCCAGATAAGGTCAGCTAAATGCTACTATCCTTTGAGATCTTCTACAAAAGCGGTTGAACCTAGATCCCCAGCATCTTTCATCATTGTCCATGGCCCCTAAGATTGCTGGAGCTTTCAGCAACATCTGGAAGGCTTCAGGATCTTCCCCCTTTCAAGTAACCTTAACATACCTGTTATCTTTCATTAAATAATAAAGAAAATGACTGTTATGTAATGCCATCTAGCCTTTGGCACGGAATCACGGTACTAGTCCAACTTCAACTCTTGAATTATCTACAGGGGATATAAATCTGGTCTGCAGACATAAAACCCAATACACACCGGCCAAAATAACAAATAATTAATGAAACCATGACATTTGACCGTGTAAATAAGGTTTGCACGTAGCCACACAGAAACACGATGGCCATTCAATTTTTTCCATTAACTGTGTCTGAAAGCTGATGATGTTGTTAATATGGTTCCATCTGCTTTTGTTTTCAGCCCAAGATTGAGTGGATGAGCTATGTCAGCCTGGTTTCCGTCTTCCTCTTTGTGTCCTTTTTTGAAATTGGACCAGGTCCGATTCCCTGGTTCATTGTTGCAGAGTTATTCAGCCAAGGTCCTCGCCCAGCAGCTGTTGCGATTGCTGGATTTTGCAACTGGGTCACCAATTTCTGCATTGGAATGTTCTTCCCATACCTGGCTGTAAGGAAACTTTGCCATTTGTTCTATAATGCTGAAACTACACTGCTGAATGATTGTCCAGGAGTTGCCGTTTAAAAATAATCTTCTGTCAATCATTTTATATCTAGCTTGTAGATAAAGTGATCAACGGAATATGATCTTTTTAGACTTTACCATGACATCAAGGTAGGAGTGGATTCCATACTGGATTCCATAGAGCATCATGACTAACATTAAGAGATATCTTCAGCTTTATCTGTTCATGATGAAGAGATGCCAACAATATTGGATTTGGGGCCAGGATTAGTACCCTGTTTCCCTGAAAATAAGACCCAACTGGAAAATAAGGCCTAGCATGATTTTTCAGGATGCTCATAATATAAGCCCTATTCCCAAAATAAGCCCAGTTAAGATCGTCAGCAGATGGAGGCGTTTAGTATTGTATTTCCCCCAAAATAAGACCTAACCGGAAAATAAGCCATAATGCGTCTTTTGGAGCAAAAATGAATATAAGATCCGGTCTTATTTTGAGGGAAACACAGTATACTGTAAGAAGTGCACTACAGGTAGTCCTCAACTTACAACATTTCATTTAGTGACCTTTCAAAGTTACAACAGCACTGAAAAAAGTGACTTACTGTTGTGACTCTGACCCCCGAGCCCGTCTTATCGGAGGGTGTGCGTGTATGAGACAGGGACAGAACACTTACGACCACTTTTCATACTTACAGCATCGCCATGATCATGTTATCAAAAACCAGAAGCATGGCAACTGATTCATATTTATGATGATTGCAGTGTCTCAAGGTCATGTGATCACCTTTTGTGACCCTCTTACAAGGAAAGCCAATGGGGAAGCCACATTCACTTAACAATGTGTTACTAACTGATTCACTTAATAATGGTGCCAAGAAAGGCCATGAAATGGGGCAAAATTCACTTAACAAATGCTTCACTTAGCAACATAAATGTTGGGCTCAATTATGGTTGTAAGCCGAGGGCTACCTGTACATAGTGGCAGGAATGTAACACTCCCTACAACAAATACCAATTATACCTCAATGCAAAGGTATAATATAATACCTCCCTGCAACTCCTCAAAGTTCACAGTCTTGTGAACTTTTCCCAGTTCACAAGACTGGGAAAAGGCATGGATGTTTTCAGAATTTTTCGTGATCTGCTACATTCAAGCCACTACCTGCTCCCAAGTAGCTTTTCGCTTTCAGATCTGAAGTGCTGAACAGTCCTAGCATTCAAAACGTGTGAAAGATGCTAAGACTGAATAGCTTGATCCAGACCAGTATTGTCTATATGGAAGATGTTAGCAGCTCACCTGAATTATGGATACAGGTCTTTTACATTACCCACTACTGCAATTTTCTATTTTGAAGGCATATCTGTGGCTTAGGAGGAAGCTACAGCTCCTTCATATCATGGAAGGTATCAGTTGGATGGGAAGAGGATAAGGGCAGGGGTGGGGATTCAGCTGGTTCGGATCAATTCGGGTGAACTGGTAGTTGCCACCTGCGGGTAGGGAGTGGGCCCGCCCGCCCTCCTGTCCGGGCACAATCCCGTCCTATATCGCTGTGTTTTTTGACGCTGGATGCATGGACAATGTGTGAGCGAGCGAAGCTATCCGTCCTATACAATTGCTGTGCTTTTGATGCAGCACGAGTGAATCAAGTGCGTGTGCGTGAAGCATATGAGTGAAGCAAGTGTGCGCGCATGCTCACATATTGGATTCAGGGCGAACCGGTTAAGTTATGAGAACCCACCTCTGGATAAGGGGCATATCCCAGTTAATAATATGCAGGAAATCATGTCCTAATCTGGATATATCCAGATAAAAAGATTCCGGGTAGCCTAGGATGGAAACAATTCTTCTCTGGAAGAACTGCTACCAGATTTCTACCACAGACTATATGTCTATAGCGATACTCAGTAATCCGGGTCATGGCTGTCGCAAAGCTGGGATCGATATGGTGGAATTTACAGAGCTGTTAACAATGCACGAGTGAAACTATGCAAAGAGATGCACATGACGCAATGGGAACGTATGCAAAAGAAGAATATTTCCATACAAACATGAGTTTATTGCTTCCTGAAATCAATGATGGTTTAAATGCCTTCTCTCTTTGTTTCTCGCCCATCACAGAAACTATTGGGTTCCTACGTCTTTCTGGTCTTTGCGGCCCTCCTCGTCATTTTCGTCTTATTTGTTTACTTGAAAGTGCCAGAAACCAAAGGCAAAACCTTTGAAGAGATTGCAGAAGAATTCCGCCGCCGAAGCAAGAAAGATGTCGGGGGACCAACTGAAATGGAGTATTTGGGAGCCAACCAAGAGGCTTAGAAGCATCGCCGCAAGAGGAAGGTTTGGAGTCAATCCAGTTATAAACTCTGGAGAAACAGGTTTAAGAAAATATAAATGCCTGGAAAGTTACATCTGTTCTCTGACTATTAGTGGATGATTTTGCAGAGCAGTCTCTTAATTTCCCGGTTCCCTCAGGAACATGTTGCGTTATGGAGTCTCACAAGCCTTATGCAAAAGAGGCTAAGGAAAGAACTTCAGGGGAGGGTTATCGATAAACCTATATTCCCGGCGATCCATTGTACAGGTATTCCTCGACTTACAATCACAACTGAGTCCCTAATTTCCACTGCTAAGCAAGACAGTTGCTAAGTGAGTCTTAGCCCATTTTACAACCTTTCTTGCCACAGTAGTTCAGTTGAATCACTGCCATCGTTAAGTTAGTAACACTGTTGTAAAGCAAATCTGGCTTCCCTGTTGATTTGGCTTGGCGGACGGTCGCAAAAGAGGATCACCTGATCCCCCAGGACACTGCAACAGTCATAAATACGAACCAGTTGCCTAGCGTCTGAATTTTGATCATGTGACAATGGAGATGCTGCAATGGTCAGAAGTGTGGAAAACGGTCATAAGTCTTTTTTTTCCCCAACTAGTGGCATTTGAATAGCCACTAAATTATTGTAAGTCGAGGACTACCTGTATTCTCTGAGATACAAAAGTGGTGCTTGAGCAAAGGAAAAAAGCACAAAAAAAGAAGCTGTTCTTGCTCAAAAAGGGTATATGTATGTGTGTGTATGTATGCATACACATAAATTCAAAGAATAAGGAGTTTTGCCAATCAGAGAAATCCACTGCATTAATATTGGTTTGTTCCACCAATTATGTCGCTTAAGGAAAGCTAAGCAAACATTTATTTCCTTTTGGTCAATGTTAAGTCGCTCTGGTTTTTGAAAAGTGAAATGCCGTCAGGCCATAGTCTGCCTCTGCCACATCTTGAATGTCAACTCACGAAGCATTCCTGACCTGCTCTCGAGTTGCGATAGGGGGATGGGGAACTGAGCCTTGCAGCTGCAGCAAGGGAGTTGCACTTCAGTCAAAACAAAAGCACATTCCAGCCATCTCTATGTCAAGGCCATCTCCACAGAGACCCACAGTGGCTGGAGAGAGGGACTTCTACAACCTGCGAAATTGCTTCGTTGCGGAATGTGACTGATGACACACTTGGGGGGAGGTGGGGACAGGGTCAGAGCTGGGGCATGAATTAAGTGAGGTCAGAGTTGACTTGCTGTCAGGGTTCTGACCGATGCCCTAATCAAATCATGACCCTCAAGTCAAGCTTCAAAAGAAATCCAGTTATTTATTAGGAGCTTCATGTTGACACGTTCCAAGTGAAGCCAACTCTGACCTCACTTAAAACAAGGTGATGGACAGCAGTGTCATGGATCTCAAAGGTGCTTTTTCAAAAGGCAACTGGACCATTTTTGGAGGAGGGGGAGGAGGAGGAGGAGAAGAAGAGGAGGAGGAGGAGTGGTGGAATTCAAATTTTTTTACTACTGGTTCTGTGGGCGTGGCTTGGTGGGCGTGGTGTGGCTTGGTGGGCGTGGCTTGGTGGGTGTGGCAGGGAAAAGATACTGCAAAACCTCCATTCCCACCCCACTCCTGGGGGAAGGGTATTGCAAAATCTTCATTCCCACCCCACTCTGGGGCCAGCCAGAGGTGGTATTTGCCAATTCTCCGAACTACTCAAAATTTCCGCTACTGGTTCTCCAGTACCTGTCAGAACCTGCTGAATAGGAGAAGGAGGAGGAGGAGGAGGAGGAGGAGGAAGAAGAAGAAGAAGAGGAAGAGGAAGAGGAAGAGGAAGAGGAAGAGGAAGAAGAAGAAGAAGAAGAAGAAGAAGAAGAAGAAGAAGAAGAAGACAGCAGCTTTGCTGAAGGTCATTGACAGAAAGATGAGGGCTATGGAAGGATTAGTTCTGACAGGATGGGAGAGAATCCTATTTATTTGCAATCATCCTGCAGTCCTTTAGCAGTTCCAAGAAGAGTCCCCCCCCTTTTGCACTCTGATACAGGTGACCCTGAAGCCATAGCTAAATCCCCACATGGCCTCAAGAGCTCTCGGGGAGAGTGCTAAGACCAGATCTGAAAAAAGCACTTTTGAGACAATGATGACCTGGATGACTGAAAATCAGTGTTATGCTGGTTTGACAGCCTGCACCAAAGATTTAAATTTTCTTGCATTGTCATTGCCATGAATTCCAATCTTACAATCAAGATTTCAGAAGACTAGAGTTCTTTTCTCTATTTGAAAGGCAAAAAGTTTCTATTTTATTTCTCTCCCCATCCCCCTAGACCAGCAAAATATTTGGAAAAGAAAGAGGACCTGGGTATGTCCGATTCCTGTCTCTGGGCTCTAATTCAGGGGGCGGGGGGGGGGCATGCACTAATTCTGAAACTGAGCAGGTTAAATAAATGTTGCTAAGTGTTATCTTTAGGCCAATATTGTCACTGTTTTTTAAAAAAAGAAAGAAAAAGAAGCTTCATTTATCTCATAACATCTCCCTGTGGAAAATACAGTGCATGCCAACAATTAACAAGAAGCAATGGATGGAAAGTAACCAAGGAGAAAAGCAACCTAGAACGAAGGAGAAATTTCCTCACAGTTAGGGTCCCTTACAACTCCGTTATTCTATGCCTACCAGTCATTCTGCCAGAGGCAATATCCGACAGAAACTTGACAGAAGTGCTATCTGTGTAATCATGCATTATCTACAGTTTTGATAGGTTGGAAATAAACAGCATTTCCCCTGTGATTTCATGCAATGTCATTGTTTTTATTACTACTTTGATATCATATCAGGTAGAGGATATAATCCTCTTTTCCTATTAACCAGTTTAATCTTCCCAAACATTCCTTTGAAATAGATTAGGCTGAGGGATTTTGAGTGAGACTGACCACCAGAGTGATTTTTATGGTTGAGGAAAATATGAACAAGAATCTTGTATCTTTATCAAACTCTGTTAATACTTCATCACTCCAAATATAAAAATCTAATGGTTGATTATGCTCGCTACGGCTTATGGGACTTGATTTTCCACCTCATGCAACATATTAAGTTTGGTTAATGTTAATGCTAGATAGGTTTGTTGTGGCTGAAATGTTGGAATCCAGGCCACTGTTTAGTTTCTCATTTAGGCTATTGTGCGAATCCTCAAAATCCTTTAATTTAGTGGCCAGGTTAAGCATCTTAGATGAATATATAGGTTGGAAGATTTAGTATTTCTTGTTTGGTCTTAGAAAGTAAACAGGATCAAACCTGATAGTACTTAGATGAGGGACCATCAGGGAATCCTAGACTACAGTCTAGATCGAGGAGTCAAAAACTGATCCAGAAGAAAGCAGTAGTAACTGGCTCCTGTCTTGTTACCATGAAAACTACATGGTTTTATAGTACATGGTTGTACATACCTTTGCATACAAAACTAAGTTTGCCCTCTAATCTTTACACAATCTTTACAGAGAAAACACAGGACTAGAATAGAATACAATAGAATTCTTTATTGGCCAAGTGTGATTGGACACACAAGGAATTTGTCTTAGTGCATAAGCTCTCAGTGTACATAAAAGAAAAGATACATTCGTCAAGAATCATAAGGTACAAGAGGGGTGAGTTTCAAATTTTTTTACTACCAGCTCTGTAGGTGTGGCTTGGTGGGGATGGCAGCTGAAGGATACTGTAAAATCTCCATTCCCTCCCCACTCCAGGGGAAGGTTACTGAAAAATCCCCATTTTTTCCTGGTCAGCTGGGACTTGGGAGGCAGAGAATAGATGGGGGCAGGGCAGTGGTGAGTTGCTCCCGATTCGGTCCAGTTCTACAGAACCGGTAGTAAAACCGGTGGGAGCTCCGCCCCCCCCCGCCATGACGTTATCATGGGTAATCTGCGCATGCACAGAAGCATGTTCATGCGTGTGCGTAAGCGAAACAAATGCATGCGCGCAGTCCCATTATGAACCGGTAGTAAAGGTAAGTAGAACCCACCCCTGATCTCCATGGTCATGTAATCAAAATTCAGAGGCTTAGCAACTGACTCATACTTATGACGGTTGTCTCAGGGTCCTGTAAACACCTTTTGCAACCTTCTGACAAGCAAAGTCAATGGGGAAGCCAGATTCACTTAACAGCCATGTTACTAACTTAACTGCGGTGATTCATTTAACAACGGTGGCAAGACAGGTTGTAAAATGGGGGCAAAAGTCACTTAACAAACTGTCTCATTTAGCAACTAAACTTTGGGGCTCAAATGTGTCGTAGGTCAAGGACTACCCATATCTGACCGTCAAGTTTTATTCATTACTGTTTTATTGTTTAGTAGCAATGAGATTTATATTGAACTTTAAACTGAACGTTTAGTTAGCAGGTGGAGATATTTCTAAATCACACCAGAAAAGTTTTAATCCCAGTTATGAACGAGCAGGTTCTCTGCTTTCTACCAGCATGAATATCAAGCAAGAAAAGAGAGTATTATATCAAAGTTAGAAAGGACTGTCAAAAGCATTACCTAAAGATTATTAATAGTTCAGCATTCCATTTCAGTCAGTCTCCTTCTTCAGCATATTATCCATATGAATCCATGGCTATTGTTTATTTCCAACAGACCTGCAAAAGAAGCCACAAAGTCACACATGTCACTGTGTCATTATGCTCAAAGGTACATAAAGAATCCACAATATTTGGATTCTGAAAGACCTTACAAAGATGTCTGGCATTTATTTCTAGGCCAAGGAACTGTGTACAATTTTTACAATTGCTGACGCTTTACAAAGTAAAAGTCCATGGTATGACCACACATGTGCAGTTAAGGTTCTACACTAAGATAAGAAAAACCCAACTGTATAGCTATAGACTAGGTGAAACTTAGGTTAATGCCAGTAACTGCGAGAAGGAGTTACGAGCCAACAGTGTGTGACAGCAGACAAAAAAAGGCAATGCAGTCCTAGGCTACATTAATAAAAAGATAGAATCAAGATCAGGTGAAGTTCTAGTACCGCTTTATAAAGCCTTAAGTAAGACTACTTAGAATACTGCATCCAGTTTTGGTCTCCACAATATAAAAAAGATGTTGAGACTCTGGAAAGAGTGCAGAAAAGAGCAAAAAAAAAAAAAAAAAAGTGGGGGCGGGCTGGAGGCCAAAACGTACAAAGAATGGTTATGGGAATTGGGTATGTCTAGTCTAATGAAAAGAAGGACTTGGGTTGACATAATTGCACTGTTCCAATATTTGAGGAACTCCTACAAAGAGGAGGGAAGCAACTTATTTTCCAAAGCACCAAAATAGAATAGATTTTTTTTTTTATTGGCCAAGTGTGATTGGACACACAAGGAATTTGTCTTGGTGCATATGCTCTCAGTGTACATAAAAGAAAAGATACGTTCATCAAGAATCAAAAGGCAAGACAAGAAACAATGGTTGGAAACTAACCAAGGAGAGAAGCAACCTAAAACTAAGGAGAAATTTCCTAACAGTGAGAGCAATCAACCAATGGAACAGTTTGCCTTCAGAAATTGTGGGTTACTCCATCACTGAAGGCTTTCAAAAAGAGACTGGACAACCATATGTCTGAAATTATTATAGAGGATCTCCTGCTCGAGCAGGGGGTTGGACTAGAAGACCTCTGAGGTCCCTTCTATTCTATTATCCTATGTTCTGTCTATGCTTATGGCATAGTGCGAAATCCAGCAACTAAAACCATGGCACATTTTTGCGGTCTACTCTTTGGAATCTCACCTGTATTCCTGGCAGGCAGGCAGGTAGTTCAGTGTTACAGTTTTACCAACTTGCTAATCATTAAAACAGCCTCAGTGATCTAACCATGAGTATTAGCTAAATGGTAGCATGACTTTACTTCTGGAGGTTCAGACAATGTTCCCGGATTGTGGTCAGCTAATAATGCATTATAATTAATAGACTTTGGGAAAAGCCTCTTGTCAGCATGGCGTTGATGGCGTTTTCCTAAGTGCCAACATTACTGCTCTTAGGAGGTTGCTCTTGTGTTCAGATGAATGCTTGACAATGTGCACTTCCTACTCTTGAAAATGAGCCTGGTGTCCTAATGCAGCGAACGAGGGCCATGTGACCCCATTATGATTTTCTGTGCTATTATGAGTTTTTCTGCCTCACTTCACTCTGTGTTTTGTGTGTGTGTGTTTTTTATTATTTTTGCTTTCAGCCTGAAACCACTCTTGTGGCAGAACTGAATAGCTGGGGAAAAAGAAATGAATAAATGATCCAGAGAGACTGTGATGATTTGGGGCCGAGTATGCTCATTTCCCTTATAAATTACTATAGGTTGAAAAGGTTGGGCGTTCTGAATTCTCTGCTTCAGAAATAAGATGCTCTTCTGATTCAGTTCTTTCTCAAAACTCACCTGGATAGATTCCCGCCCCCACCCCCTTCCTTTGGGTCTCCGAACACATCAAAATCTAAAGATGTGAAATGATATTTATTGTTCAGCTAGAACAGGTGCAAAAAAGAAAAAAGAAAAAAAGGCAATCAAACTTAACAGAGCGTTCCCTACAAAGGAAGATATTGAAAGCTTTTTGGATTAGAAAACATTTACTGAGGAATGAAGAAAGTGTGCACCAGAGGTGGGTTTCAGCAGGTTCTGACCAGTTCTGGAAAACCGGTAGCAGAAATTTGGAGTAGTTCGGAGAACCGGTAGTAAAAATTCTGACTGGCCCTGCCCCCATCTATTCTCTGCCTCCCAAGTCCCAGCTGGGAATCGAGATTTTACAGTATCCTTCCCATGCCATGCCACGCCCACCAAGCCACATCCACAGAACCAGTAGTAAAAATTTTTGAAACCCACCACTGGTGTGCACCCTTTGAAAATTATTTGGAAGTCGTGCTTCTGATCTGGTGTGTGTGTGTGTGTGTGCCACTTCTCTGCTATTTTAATTTAAACAGTTTAATTTTTATTTTTAAGGCTTTTGCACATGCTTGAAAGAAAGGGTGGCTGCTTTAAAGAATTGACTTTTAAAGCCGGGGCACCTATATGAAAATTCACGTTGAAGGCAGATCCTTTAAAATATGAATAATATGTTCATCATAGGTTCAGAGTTATAAACATCAGACTCATCTCCAAATCAATTCTACGTAGAGAACCTTACAGTTCACAATGTTAGCAGTGCATAGATCGTCATTATTAACCTATTTCTGCCCAAATATGGATATAATGGTTAAAACAGAACTCAGAAAAGGCACTCAGATCTTACAGATTAACAGAGTTGGAAGGGACCTTGTAAGTCATCTAGTCCAACCCCCCGCCCAAGCAGGAGTTCCTACACTCCTTGGTACAAAAACTACGTGAGTTTGCATCGATGGCCAAGAATATAAATGGGATCACCGAGAACCTGCATTTGCTCCACTGGAAGGAGAAGCACCAGTGCTGAGATGTTCTGTAATTAGACAACCTTTCAAAAATATGACTGTAAAGAAGGATGAGTAGCTACCCTAGAAATGGTTCAATTAATAGGCAATTATACTAATCTTGTTTTGGGAAATAAGCCAAAATGTTCCCCTGCCACCTTTGTCTTTATTCATACAGGGATGTTAACTGGATAGGGAGAAAAAAAACCCTCAGATTAAACCTTCATGAGTTGGACGTACTATTTATCTGTAAACATTCAGGCATTCCAAAAACTTTGTTATCTGCATTGGCTTTATACAGACTTTGCTCTCTTACAAAACATCCATTCTTGAATTGAGGGGTTCTCCTGGACTCTCATGTCCTGCTTGAATAGCAGAGGGAAGCCATGGCCAAGGAACCTTTTGTTCAGTTTATGTTGGATTGGACCAGGGCAGTGGTGAAATGTAAAATTTGTTACTACCGGTTCTGTGGGTGTGGCTTGGTGGTGGTGGGGTTAATGTGACTGGGAGGGCGTGACCAACTTTTTTTTTTTTTTTACTTTTAAAAACATTTTTTGGGCCGAAGAGGTGGCAGAAAAAAATGTTTTTAAAAAAGCCTCTGACGATCACAGCTGCGCTAACCACAGAGGCCTTTTTTTTTTACTTTTAAAAGCATTTTTTCTACAACCTCTTCGGCTGGAAAAATGCTTTTAAAAGTAAAAAAAAAAAAAAGCCTCTGATGATCGTGTGGCTCAGATGGGCTTGGGGGGGAGGCAGGGATTTTTACTACCGGTTCTCCGAACCATCCGCCTCCATCACTACCGGATCGGGCGATCCGGTCTGAACCGGGAGCATTTCACCCCTGGACCAGGGGTGGTATTCACTTAACTTCACTACCGCTTCGCAAATGTGAGCTTGTATGCGACACCTCCACTCATGTGCATGCGCAGAGTATCAAAAACGGGACGTGATGACGTCCGGGTGGGTGGGCGGAGCCTCCCGCAGCTGCTGCTACCAGTTTGCCCGAACCGGATAGAACCGGCTGAATACCACCACTGATGTGGACACCTTGGCAATAACTCATGTCATCATCATCATCCATCTTGACTATTGCAAGGCATTCTAGGGGTAAGTCTGCTGTGAAGAAGACTTAGAATGCAGCAGCCAGAAAGGTAGAGCCCCCAGTTCAAAATGCTTATTGCTTTCAAATCCCTGAATGGTTATATCAGGGACTGCCTAACCCATAATAATTGTGTTTCACCCTGCGAGAGCATCAAGGGATAGCTCAAGGTCTTATCCTTGCAAGAAATGAAAGGAACCTGCACCAAAATGGACTTCTTTTCTATGATTGCTCCAACACAGTGGAATACCCCATAGGAGAAATAATTCTGTCAGCCCTGCCTGAAGCCATTTTGGGAACATCTTCAGGGCTGCCACAGCGAGGGCGGTTGGAGCTGTAGGAACGGGAGCGGGGAGGTAGAGATAGCTGGGGGGATGTGTAGCCAAAATAACATTCTTTCCAGTGGTGGGTTTCAAAAATTTTTACTACCGGTTCTGTGAGTGTGGCTTGGTGGGTGTGACATGGCTTGGTGGGCGTGGCATGGGAAGGATACTGTAAATTCTCCATTCCCACCCCACTCCAGGGGAAGGTGACTGCAAAATCCCCATTTCCTCCCGATCAGTTGGGATTCAGGAGGCAGAGAATAGATGGGGGCAGGGGCAGTCAGAATTTTTACTACCGGTTCTCCGAACTACTCAAAATTTCCACTTCTCCAGTTTCTCCAGAAAAAAAACAAACCAACCTCTGTTTTTTTCCCATGAGACCCAAGGACGCTCCACCAGGTGTTGGAAAGTTGGGACCAAAGTCCGCTGGAGATGGGACTGAACCTGATTGGCCTGTGTGATGGACATGTGACCTGGGGGCAAGACCTTTGGGTTTTGATTTGGGTGGGGAAAACCTCGGGCCCTTCAGAGTTGGGTTTTCCCCAGCTGTGCCAATATGACATTCCTAATAAAATCATGCTTTGAGGAAATGCCAGAACTCAGAGTCTTGATTGCTTTGGGTCTGTTACTTGGAACTCTGACACTAACTTCTTCAGTTTTAGTATTCCAAAAATTCTCTATAAACATTCTTTGACCTGATGTAGCTGAATAACTATTTTTTCCTTACATCACACATATTTGGGGAGATGGAGTTTCCATGTATATATTGCTTATTTTACATTTTCACTGTTAACCATGCAGCATCAATTGA